GGATCGAGTCCCGCATCGGGCTCCCTGCTCAGCAGGGAGTGCTTCTCCCCCTGACCCTCCCCCATCTCATGTGCTCTCTGTCTCTCTCATTCTCTCTGTCTCAAATAAATAAATAAAATCTTTAAAAAAAAAAATTATTTTTTGTCTTACTGATTTGTAATTGTTTATCTTGTGATATATTGATCTTTTATATGTTGCAGTTATTTTTATAGAATCTTGTCTTTTCGCTTTTCTTAATATCTTTTTCCATGCAAAAGTTTTATTTTTGATTCAAATTAAAATTTGTTAGCCTTTTCTTTATGCTTTTTACTTGTGCCATAAACATTCCATATTTTCTTCTATTCTTCCATAAGTTCTTTCTTTAAAAGCTTATGTCTTATATTCATTATCTGTTGGTGTTGTGGCATAATAACATATACATATATATCTGCCTAATATATAGTCTTTTACCCTGGTTCCTGCTAATATTTAGTCTTTTACCCTGGTTCCTGACACAGAGTTTTCTAAAACTCTTATAATTTCCTTGGTGATAGGAGTGTCTGTCACAGAGCTCCTAAATCCCTTGGAATTTTCTGGGTGATAGGACCGTCTTTTGTTCTATTTAGGTGACTCTTGGTGTGGGCTCCTGGATGTCTTCTGTGGGGGCTGGTCTCTAGAAAGATCAAGTCATGATTAGAAGCTTGGAACTTGCAGCCCTGCCCCCATCCTCCAGAGTGGGGAGAAGGACTGGATAATGAATTAGTAATCGATTATTAGATCATGTCCATGAAATGAAGTCCCCATAAAATCCCGAAAGTACAGGGTTCGGAGAGTTTCTGGATTGGTGAACACATCTACATGCTCGGAGGGTGTAGCATACCCCAACTCCACAGGGACAGAAGCTTGTGGGTTCAGGACCTTCCAGACCTTGCACGAGGTACCTCTTCATCTGGTTCATTTGTATCCTTTATAATGTCCTTTACTATATAATAAACCAGTAAATGTAAGTAAGTGTTTCTCTGAGTTCTTTGAGCTGTTCTAGCAAATGACTGAATCCAAGGAGAAGGTTGTTGAATCCAAGGAGAAGATTGTGGGAACCTCTGATTTGTAGCCAATTCCGACAGTGTGTTACCTGGAGACTCCTTCCAGGCGGGCAAGCAAACATGGCTTACCTAGTCTGTGTTGTTTTTACCCACAATACTTTTGATATCAAACGAGGTTTTTTCCTCCTGACACCAAATATGTGATCTCTTTCAACACCACCTCTCCAGATTGACATTGGACTCTCTGACACTGATTACCTGCAGTTAGCATCAGATTACACAAATTTAAGAGTACAGACCTGCAAGAAAGCCACCACTTGGGATTCCAATCTCAAGTCTTGGTCTCCTGTACTGACTGACGGGCTCTAAATCATGGTTTCTACGGTCCCTTTCTCAGGACAGAGTATGGGGGTGTGCCACCCTTCCAGCAGCATGATGTGCTCACCAACTTGGAAGTTTGCTGAACCTGTGGTTTTGGGGGCTTTATGGAGGTTTTATGGCTTAGGTATGATTGATTAAATCACTGAACATTGGTGATTGAACTCAGGAGGTGGGGCTAAGTTGAACCCTGTAATCAGGTAGTTTGTTTCCCTGGTGACCAGCCCCCATCCCGTGGCTGTGTGAGGGCTTGGGTTACCAGTCATCTCATTAGCACACAAAAGACACTGATCACTGTGGAGATCCTAAGCATTTTAGGAGTTCCTTGTAGTAACTGGGGCCAAAAGCCAAATATTTGTTTTTTGTCATATCGCTGCTGGGTACTTTGTTTCACAGTCACTCATGAGCCTGTAAGCAAGGTGTAAGCCAGGGTGGCATCTGATCTGGAGGCTCGGGTGGGGAAGGATGCACTTCTAAGCTCACTTACTGGGTTGTTGGCGGGATTCATTTCCAGAAGGGCTGATCAAGTGAGATCCTCAGTTCCTACCTGTCTGCTCATGTAAGATTCTTATTTATTAGTTCCTTGCTACATGGGCCTTCCCTACATGCCACTTGTTTCATCAAAGTCATGAAAGGACAGATTCTGTTAGCAAGATGGGAGTCACCAACGGAGCCACGTAGGCTCCTCATTTCTACTGAAATGTGTATAAGAAAATATATATAGGGGTACCTGGGGGGGGGGGCTCAGTTGGTTGAGTGTCTGCCTTCGGCTTGGGTCATGATCCCAGGGTCCTGGGATGGAGCCCCACATCGGGCTCCCTGCTTGGCAGGAGGCCTGCTTCTCTCTCTCCCTCTGCCTGCCGCTCCCCCTTCTTGTGCTTTCTCCCTCAACCTCTCTGTCAAATAAATAAAATCTTTAAAAAGAAAAAAGTATATATAGATGAGGCTATATGGTGATTAGGACAGCCTCCCTCATGCTTCTTCCGTATTAACAAAAGTAATTCACATCATATTAAATAGGACCGTGTTATTACAGGAATCACTGACACTGGAGGACGTGGCCGTGGACTTCACCTGGGAGGAGTGGCAGCTCCTGGCCCCCGCCCAGAAGGACCTGTACCGGGACGTGATGTTGGAGAACTATAGCAACCTGGTGTCAGTGGGTGAGGACAGCTTTCTATGTCACTTAGAGGTGCTCAGTCACTGGCTTTTCCTCTATCACTCGATCAAAGCTTTGCAATCACTGTGGTCTTCCGAAGAGTCCCTTATCTTGGCCCTAAACAAAGGGGTATAATCTTTTCTATCCTGAAAGAGAACTTTTAACTACTTTGCATGTGAGAAATCGCTTTGTCTCTAAAATGTAATATTTTCCCATCTCAACTTACTATACCCCAAGTCACTGCATCTAAGTCTTTTGTCATTTCTCACGAACAGGGTGTCAGGCTACCGAACCAGATGCATTGTCCAAGTTGGAATACAGAGATGAACCATGGATAACAGAGGATGAAATACAGAATAGAACCCATCTGGGTGAGTGAGTACCAGCAAGGGGAGTGGCTGAAGAAGTTTTATTCTAGTCTTTAAGAGAAGGTGTCACAGCTGTGAGGGTGTCTGAGGATACCTAATCAGCTCCTCCCCATATTCCTTCCCCCAGATAAGAACTCTCTTTCTTTTGTGCGTATTTAGCTCTAAATATGCTCCTTACCTCTTCTTGGATCTGATATTTATTTCATTTTAAATCTTTATAATTTTCTTTTAAAATTATATAGTCAAAACAATAAAGAGCCACCCCCACCACATCATCTTTAAAACACTTTTATTCCATACCATCCTTGTGAGAGAATTTGTTGTTCCCTTTTTTCCCTAGGATTCGGGAAGCTTGATAGTCATCTGCAAGAGCACTCTCAAAACCACAGATTTCTGAAGAGCACACAACAATACGGGGAACAGAGTACATTTAGAAATGCTGTTCATTTGAGCAAAATACATTTTGCCATAACGCAAAATCGTGTGTTTGATTTATGTAGAAAAGCTTTGAAATCAAGTTTGAGTTTAGTTAACGAGAAGAGAAGATATGAAACAAAGAAGGCTGTTGAGTTTAATGGAGAAAAATCTTTTCTGCATGGTAATCATGAACATTTGTATTCTGGAATTGAATTCCCTGAAAGTGCAAAATATATCAGCACTAAATTCCAAGACTTTAAGCATCAGAGGACTCACAAAATAGAGAAAGCCCACACATGCATCGAAGGTGAGAAAACCTGCATCAGGAAGTCTCGGCTTATTTACCATGAGAGAGGTCATAGAGGTGAGAAACCCCATGAGTGTGATCCATGTGGGAATTCCTTCTCCAGAAATGTCATGTTCGCTAAACATCAGAAAACTCATACACAAGACAAAGTCTGTATAACCAGTGAATACAGAAAAGGCTCTAGTGTGAAGAGCAGTCTCACTTTGCCTCAGCAAACCCAAACAGCAGAGAAATCCTACACATGCAGTGAGTGTGGAAAAGGCTTCACCATGAAACGCTATCTGATTGCACATCAGCGAACTCATAGTGGAGAGAAACCTTATGTGTGCAGTGAATGTGGAAAAGGCTTCACTGTGAAGAGCAATCTCATTGTGCATCAGCGAACTCATACAGGGGAGAAACCCTATATATGCACTGAATGCGGAAAAGGCTTCACCATGAAGCGCTATCTTGTTGTACATCAGCGAACTCATACTGGAGAGAAACCCTATATATGTAGCGAGTGTGGAAAAGGCTTCACAGTGAAGAGTAATCTCATCGTACATCAGCGATCTCATACTGGGGAAAAATCTTACGTGTGCAGTGAATGTGGAAAAGGCTTCACCACAAAGCGCACCCTCATTATACATCAGCGAACTCACACAGGAGAGAAATCTTACTTATGTAATGAATGTGGAAAAGGCTTCACCACAAAGCGCACCCTCACTATACATCAGCGGACTCACACAGGAGAGAAACCCTATGAATGCAATGAGTGTGGTAAAGCCTTCAGCCAGAAGATATGCCTCATACAACATGAGAGATGTCATACAGGAAAGACTCCCTTTGTGTGTACTGAGTGTGGAAAATCCTATTCTCACAAATATGGTCTCATTACCCATCAGAGAATTCACACGGGAGAGAAACCCTATGAGTGCAATGAATGTGGAAAAGCCTTCACCACAAAGTCAGTACTCAATGTCCATCAAAGAACTCATACAGGCGAGAGGCCATATGGATGCAGCGATTGTGAGAAAGCCTTCTCCCACTTGTCAAACCTTGTTAAACATAAGAAAATGCACACAAGAGAAATGGGTAGATTCAGTCAAGTTGTAAATTCCTTTAACACAGAGTCACAGCTCATTACTTATTAGTGAACTCCTGCAGAACAGAAGCCCTATGAATGTGATGACTGTGGAAACGCCTTCTGTGGCAACCGAGACTTCATTAAACATCAGTGTTTCCAGCAGATTGGAATGTAATCATGGTACTGATGGCCGTTGATGTGTGTCCTGCGGAGATTAAAAACTTGTCTAGGAGGTAAATCTGGTGGCTACGGTGAATGTGTTGTAGTGCCTTCAGTGATCCTTACCTCATATTTTCTGTCAGTGAAAACATGTTGGGAAAACTCTGATACATTCAATGTGGAAATGCCTTGAGCAAAACTTTCTAGCTTCATTATATTCTGAAAAGTGTATACTGAGATAAATTCTGTGAATGCAGAAACTAGAAAGGCCTTCAGGGGGAAGGTAGACTTCATTATCAGAGATCATCATAAATCATCAGTGAGCTTATTGTTCATAGAAATATGATTTTTTAAAAAATTTATGATGACCATGGGAAAGCTTTTACCCAGAAAGAAGACCTCAGTGAGGGTCAGAGTCCACACTGGAGAAAAACTTTAAGAGGACGATATATATATATATATGGCAGGATATCAGTGACACATTCTGCCTCGTTTTGTCAGGAAATCATATAGAAATGAAAACTTCATGAACATACTAAATGTAGAGCACCTGCAGTCAAATATCAGAGAACTTATGAAGGAATGAAGTCCTGTGAAAGTGGTAAATGTCAGAGTGCTTTTAAATGTTACAAGTCTGACCTCAGTATACATCAGATAATTCACCTGATGTACATTTTCAGATGATACTTTGAAACCCTTTTCTAGTGGCCTTGTCAGTAATTCCTTAGTTTTAAAAAGTATAGTCTGCTTTCCTCATCACTGATTAATATTTATTGTTATACACCGTGCTGAGTGTTCTATGGAGTATTCTAGGACTACTCTGTATTATTGATTTTTTACCTTTCTTTGGCTCTAAACTTAATTGTAAATTTAGCATACTAAAGGAGTTTAAAAGGAAACTGAATGTTTTAAATTCATAAAATAACAAGTATTTGTACTTGCTTAACTAAGTTTATAAATATGACCAAATATTTTATAAAACCACCTTCCGAGTTATTTTTATAAAATGTTTAATTTGAAATCATTTTAACTTATAAGAAATTGCAAAATAGTCCAGAGACTTCCCTAGTATCCTTTACCTAACGCCTCCCAGTAAAAACATTTATGTAAGCCACATCTTACTGAATCCAGGAAAATGACGTTGGTAGTATACTGTTAGCTAAGCCCTTAACCTTATTTGGATTTCATTAGATTTTCATGTTTTTTTTTTTATGTTGTAATTCTAAGAAGTTTTATTACATATATAGATTCATGTAACCCCTACCACAACCATCATGTAATACTGTAATCAACACAGATTTCCTCATTATACCTTTTTATGCTCATTCCCTTTATCCAAACCTACCTCTTGCAACCACTTACCTGTTTTCCATCAGTATAATTGTATAATTTTGTGAATATTACAAAAATCATTTTTACAACTGGATTTTATATATTTTATATATAGGTTGTATTTATTTATATAATTTTCTATTTTTTTCCGTAAAAGTTATATTAGTGACTATATACAAATTTATAATTTTTTATTAGTAGGAAGTGTGTAAGCTTTTCATGTTTTTGTCATTTGGCAAATTGCTCTGAAGACTTATGTGAGTTA